ACTAGCTCTGGGCAGCTGATGAGCACACTGAGGCACAGCTGGTGGGCAGGGGACAGGGACAAGGAGGGCAGCAGGATGTGTGAGTCCTAGGGCTGCTGGCGGGGTGATGGTGATGCAGGGTCAGAAGCAGCAGGGCCTGCGAGCAGAAGCCTTGCCTCTGTCAGCTCTGCACGAGCTGGACTGCCCCACACTCGCCATCATGAGGACCAAAACCTCCTTCCCTGTGGGACACCTCTCTCCCAGGTCCATCCAGGGAGACATATCCCCTCTATGGAGAGACAGACCAGGCAACTCCCCACTACTGGGCACCTGCTAGGGTGCCGAGCGTGACATTTACATATATTTTCTATCCCTTCATAATCATGACCACCTGGGAGCTGAGTGTGGGACCCCCATTCTGGAGACCAGAAAGCTGAGGAGCTCGGGCACAGTCACTTGGTCAGAGACACAGCTAAGTGGTTGAGCCAGGGTGGCCATAAACCAAATACAGTGCAACTGCACAGCGCTTCCGCCACTCAAAGGCCGGAGTTTGGTTAGAGTTGTCTAATACATGTGAAATCAGCCACCTAGATTGTAATTTACAAGTCGCATACCCATTGCTATGGCTTGCGTGTCTGTATCTACTTCAAAGTCCATGTGGAAACTTAATTCCCAACACAACACTTAGCTCTAAGTCCTAACAAGTACAGTTTTAAGAAGGGGGAACAGGATATGAAGGCAATGGCCTCACGGGAGAGATTAGTGCTTTATACAAGGGCCAGTGGGAATTAGCAAGGGCTCTTGGCCCTTCTAGCTCTTTCCATGTAAAGATACAGGGCTCACCTCCAAAGGAGGCGGTGTTCAGGCACCATCCTGGAAACAGAGCCTGGGTCTGCGCTGCCGTCTTGGTCTTGGATTTCCCAACTACTACAGCCGTGTGCACTAGATGTCTGCTGCTTACGACTGGCCAGAGCTAAGCTGTTGTATTATAGCAGCACAAATGAACCAACGCACCCCTGACCTGTGGGCTTGTGCAGAGGCCTGCCCCGCCTGCCCCTCGGTGTTCTGAGCCTAGCAGCATTGCACTCATGAGGGATGACTTGGCTTTGAAGTTCAATCCAAGTAGACAAGGCCCAAAGAGAGAAGGGGATTCCCTGCTCGACCTTTGTAGCTAAGGACTCATTTTTCTGGGTGATGGGACATGGGAGTGATTGATATTGGTAATGATTTCCTACTTCCAGGCAAGTCCCGTCTCCCTGCCACAGGGGAATGATCTTCCTTTGATCTCAACAAGACAAGCTTACCAGAAAACATCTTAATAATTCATCTGAGTGGCACATACATAATTAACTGGCATTAGTGGGGGAAAGTGGTTTCCTTAGAAGAACCTACAGGGTTGCTACGTCCCTGGATCCAAGCGGGGCATCTGCCACAAAGTGCTGAGATTCTTATTAAAAGACTAATAAAAGGAAAGAAACTTGCTTTGGTCATGTTTACTTAATATCTTGCAAAAATACTCTTGCTAACTTATGATATATAATTTTAAGATGTTTGCTTAGATAAGTACAAAATTGAAATGTGAGCTTTCTTTAAGACAAAAGAAAAACCAGTTGGATTATATAGTTTTCCCAAATGGGTACAAAGGCAGCAAGAGCTCTGCCTTTCAGAGCTCACAGACCTCCAAGATACTTTTAGGCACTTTGGTCTTTAAATATTTTATCTCTATATAATTCTATACCTTGGGGTGATTTATTCCTCATTTCTTTCTTTTTAAAAAAAAAATGTACTTGATACAGGGTCTCACTACACGGCTCAGATTCATAGTGATCCTCCTGTTTTCAGCCTCCCCAGCATTGGGATTACAGGTGGGTGCACCATGCCCAGTCTCGGAGGCCAGCTCAGTGTGCCCGGGGGCAGGGCCGGCGCAGCATGTGGTGCTGGAGATTGAACCCCCCGTGCTTGCCTCAGGAGGCGCTTAGTCCACTGAGCTATCTCACCAGCCCTTATCTCACTTTTCTACATAGATTATCTGCCCTTTTCCAATTGATCCTCTGTCCTTTTCCCCTTTCAACTGTCATCCTTGACTTTAGCTCCCATTGTACTTAGCTGGTTACTAACCACTCCTTCAAGCCTCTCGAGGGTCAGCACAGGATAGAAAAGAGAAATGGGTGTAGGTAGTGCAGAGTTCTGTGGAGAACCACACGCCGTGCCGGGACGTGTGCCTCAGCCTTCCCATCCCTGGCTTTCCTAATCCACTGTGGACAACATCTCGTCTCATAGTATGAGAAATAGAGGGAAAATATATGCTAATTGTGCAGCTTGTTACACCCTAGACTCTCAATAAATTCAGCTTCTTTTTCTTTTTCCTTCTCTCTCCATTTTGAAAGTAGTCAGGATATCAATTATACATACATAAATTACACGTTATGCTGGAAACACTCAGACATGATTAATGTAACCAATAATAATTTTAATATTAATAATGGGGTACTCTGGCAGCAGCATCCTCACTCTGACAATCAATCTGCACAGGCTGGCTTTGTCATCCTGTGACACAGAGCGCTCCAAGTTTACCCAGGAAGATGGGGATGCACATGAGCTCTGTTTCCAGATTTGGGGGATGCCCCTTTTTAGATCAGGAGACTGGGCTCCAAGCCATTCCTTACCACTCAAAGTGTATGTAATATGTTTGCTAAGAAATGAAGACTTGTCCAGGACAGGAAACACAGGGAGACTCTGAGCCATTTTCTGAGACTAAAAGGTTTGGAAACAGAACACATGTTCTGGAAATACTAATTTCTGCTGATAATACTAATTTCAGTATTCCTAGGGACACCCTGGCCAAGAGGTCCGTAAAACATCTTGTACAGAATAGGATCTCACTCTTCCTGATTGAATTAAAATATTCATTCTTAAGGTTAATCTGGTTGGTTTTGTCAAACCCCAGAATGTCACCTCCAGATCTCTCCCTACTGCGCATGCCCTTGGCAGCCATCTGGTCTACCTCCTCCTCGCATGGAAGTGTGCATGAGCAAGCCAGATGCAAAGACCTGCTAGGCGCGGGCTGGGACTCTTGAGCAATGGAGAGTCAAGCAGGGAAATAAAGCAATGCCCCCTCATCCGCACACCCAGGAGCAGCCCAAGCCTTTGTCACTGACACGGCTTCCAGCGGCTGAAGCTTTCCCAATGGGGAAAGGAGGAGAGAAACTCGCCTATAGGCTGCCCACACAGCCACACATCCTCCAGGTTTTCACGCAACATCCCTGATGTCCCCCTTGCTTAGTCTGAAGAATGAAAGGCCGCATCCCAGAGTTCTGTTGACTCTTCCAGGGTAACTCCTAGTAGAAAACTAAGTTCAGCGCCTGACAACACAGGATGGCACGTGATTCCAAGTCCAAGCCTTCTCCCAGAATCAACCCAAAACACAGAGATGACCTAGGCGGCAGAGGAAACCCTAGGCGGCCCTCCCAGCCCCACCCCCCACCGCAGTGGCCTGGCCTGTAGCCACCAGGGGGAGCCCTTGCACCAGGCGCAAGGGGAAAGGGTCAGCGACCCAAGGGCCGGAACTGGGAGCTTCCTTCTCTGATTTTCAAAGCTACAGAGACAGGAGTTGGAAGAGATGGCCTAGAGGGGCCTAGCAGAGGACGCTTCGCTGCGTGCTGGACCTCCATGGAGCCTTGAGCCCAACCAGTAAGCAGCATCTGCACAGCAGTATAAATCAAACTCCAAACCAGAGCCGCTGGCCACGTGTTAAACAAAAGGCACAGCGTGGTGCAGAAGAGGGTAGAAAATGGCAGGGCGATCACACAAAGTATAAGTGACTTTTGCTTTAAGGAGTCTTTATTTTACCTTGCCTGTACATGTGTGTGGTGTGTACTCAGTCACGCTGTGAAGGTTACCTTACCGCAAGTAATTGAAATATACTGACCTAAAGCTTATACAGGATCCAGACACTCAGACCCTGAACTAGGGTCTCAGGCTGCCTCAGTACCTGTAGGGTTTTGTTCGTTTGTTTTACTTGTAGTTTTGATGGAGGATCTGGGAACCACCGAGCAGAGGCAGTAGGCCAGAGTAGGCGGAGCTTAGGGGTGGGGCTTCCTAACCTGGACAGCAGGGGCATTTTATTTCAAGACTTTGGCCCATTAGAAATGTTGACATTTCTTTTTTTACCTGAGAGATTATTTCTGATCTAATTTCCTCTATAGCCTCATGTATTTGTTTCTTTGGTTGAGAAAAGAAGGAAGGGAAAAGAAAGCTAAGATAGTTATACTGTTAACTTCTTCTAGTCCATAGAAGGAAAGGTTTGTGCTTATATTATTTGATCCATCTTCATACCTAAATCTTGTAATCTGAGCAACTACTTTGAAGATAACAGTATGCAATATGTTCACCACTGTTAATTTCTTATTACTTTGTTTTGAAATCCCGTATCTTGTTTTCCCCCCCAAAAAAAAAATTTGGCCCAAAAAAAACAAAAAAAACCCCAAAACCGCCCAACGGCAAGCCCCAAACCCAAAACAAAGCAAGGGTGGCAAAAAGGGCCAAAACTTTGCCTTCCCAAACAGGTGTGAGAAAAACAAACCCAGAAAACAAAATGACCTCAGAGTCAACAAGATCCGGGATCACATGTTGAGTCTCCCACCCACCTGTGTGTCTGTGGGCAAATTGTACAATCTCTCAACTCCATCTCCTCCCCTGCTACAGTGGGGATAACAGCTTCCCGCAGGGTTGCTGGGAGAGGCACGTGGGATCCTGATACCAAATACTATCCCAAATCAGGTGCTGTGTCGCCCTGACTCCTTTTCACACATCCGTGAAATGCCCCTTGAGCTTAGCACACTGTGGCCCCGTGGGCTGTAGTTTCCCTGGCCGGGAGGGAGACTTCCGTGCAGTTGAGTGGCCCTTAGCAGGGGGCAGGCATGCAGGCCACAGGGTCCAGCTCGTGTCGCTCCCGGGGCTAGGCACGGGTGAAGTCCCTGGAGGGGAGTGGCCGTCGCACTAGCCTAGGGAGCAGAGAACTGTGGCCTGCGGCGAGAGCAGAGAGCGGGTCCTCGGCTGCCTGGTTGGGAGCGTCCCGCCCCCTGCACCTGGGAGGATGGAGCCCGGGGCGCCCGGCGGGGCGAGGGCGGAGCCGCGGCCCAGGTGGACGGTAGAGAGCACAGCTCAGCTGCGCCTGGGCCGGCGGGGGTAAAGGAGATCGCGCAGTGGGCCCCGGACCCAGCTCTGCAGGCGGGCTGCTTCCCGAGAACCCGTCTCAAAGGAGGGAGATGGAGGAGGTAAGGCGCAATCGGACGCGGGCTTCCCGGGACTCCCCGGCGGCTCGGATCCTCCTCCAAGGACACGCGGGGCTCGGCGTCGGGGGAGCAGGCCCGGAGTCGGGGGTCTCGGGCGCCGCTCTTCCCGGCTTGGGACTTCTGCTTGGTCTCTGCTCCTTGTTATCTGAGGCCCTGCGAGTGCGCTCGGGTCCCACTCCTAAAACTGGATTGTCGGGAGGAAGCACTTAGCGAGACAGCGGCGGCGGTCTGAAGCACAGAGCTGCCGAAGTTGGGGTGCCGAGCCAAGTGGGGCGCCCTTCCCGGGAGAGCCGTGCTCAGAGAGAAGGAGGCTGTGGTGCGGACCCAACTGGCGTCCTTTTCCTCCCCAAGGCTCCTCTGTTGGGTTCTGAGTCAATTTCGTGTGTGTGTGTGTGTGTGTGTGTGTGTGTGCGCGCGTGTGCGCGCGCGCGTGCGCGTGTGTCTTTTATGATACGTTTGGAATTAAATGGTTTTCTCCTGTGAATCCTGCGACCTTCCGTCCAGATGTTTGCTTTTAGACGCGGACAGAGGGCTCAGCAGCTGTTGCCGGCCAGGAATATCTCCCTGTGCCCTGGCAGCCTCTATGCAGTCCAGAGTCCAGTTTGCTGAGTTTGGGGAAAGGGGCACTGGCCTCTGGATTCAGCTCTGTCCCCCAGGGACTCTCCCAGCTGGCCCACCCACAGCCGGTTAGCAGCTTCTGAGCGATTCCTCCTGGAGGAAAGTGCCAGGTTGAGCAGTTTAATCTGGGTTCTGGATTGGAAAGTAATTTACGTTTGGCTCTCTGTGAGGGCCGGGACCTGAACGCGATCATCTGTCACAGTTTATCTGCACAAGGACGAGCTCCACGGGTTCGCCCGTCTGCGCTGGGGGAGGGAGACGGGTCGCGTGTTGCGGCTGCTGGGTGTCTCCCAGCTGGGAAGTCGCTGCTCGACTGGGGCTTGGCTTGTGGATGGGAGCCACTGAGTGCCAAGTTCAAGCCAGGAGGTGTTGGGGAGGTGGCGGGAAGGGGGTTAGGCAGTTTCAGAGGGAGTGCAGAGGGGTACATCTGAGCTAGTAACATTGTTAAGGATGATTGCATGACTTCCACTGCTCCCAGAGCGGTAAAAATGATCGAAAGAAATGTTCTTGGTTTCTCATTTTAAAAGGGGGATTTTGTTTTTATGTTTTAGAAAATAGACTTTTAAAAACACCTGCTATGTGTGGACCAGTCCCATTCTAGGTGCTGCAGGGGTAAGGAGAAACCAGTCAAAACTATTAGTTTTTATAAAATATATTCTAAGGGGAGAAGAGAGATAAAGCCATAGGTGAGTTGGCAGAAGGGCTCCAAGGTGCCGCAGAAGTGGGACGGTCCCAAGCAGGAAATCCCTGCAGGTGGTGGAGCAGAAGAGAAGAGCAGCACAAACTTGACTGTATGATCGTGGCAGAGAAAGGTCACACAATGGCTGGGACAGAGGAGGGGAGAGAGAAAAGGGCCTGAGAGGAGGGATCTGATCACGTTTGCTCCAGAGCCCACTGTAGAAACCAGGTTTTTCTCTGAGTAGGGCAGTAAGCCACCTGAGCAGCTCAGGGGCACAATCCAATTTATACATAAAAAAAAGTCATCTGGCTCTGGTTTTGACCCGGATTTTAGGAGGGTGAGAGCGGTGACGGTGGCTGGAAGTGGTCAGATTCTACACCATGGTCCCTACCTCGGGATACTCATCTGGCAGTGTTTCATTTTCGTAATGGTGGAAAAGCAAGATGCGTTCAGTGAGTGCTATGCTTCTGATTTGGATCCTTTCTGGACTAGAGCTCTGTGGTGCGGTCCCCACAGGATGCCCGGGAGTGTCGGCGCCACTGTCCCAGGCAGCTGTGTGGTCACAGGGTAGAGCATGGCACGCTACGGGGCGCCCTGTTGCTGCGCCTTGAGGTGGCAGCTGAGTGTGCGAAACACATTTCTGGTGGCATTTCTTCTGTGCCATGGGCTTCCTGGGGCCTGACACCACTCGTCGGTATATTAAAAGTGTTGTGGACAAGATTTGCTGGTGGACTAGATCCCTCCTAAAAAACTGTGAAAGGAAATGAGGGATGGTTGAGAACCCCAGGTGGGAAGCCTGAACATCTCGAAGACTGGAGCCGGCATGTACTCAGAGAACTCAACACAGAGTAGGTGGAGAAGGAGACCAGGAGTCAGATGAGGAGCTGAGTAAAAGGCAGCTGCTCAGGTTTGGAGGCTAAGGCCAGGCTGGAGGCCAAGGCAAGGTAACACATCTGCGGTGGGATGCTGCTGGGCACGCAGGTGTTCAGACTTCACATTCTTCCACCAGAAGTGGAGTCTGCAGAGCTGTGATTGCTTGCACCAGCACCCCACGGCCATGCGGCACTGTGGGGCTTTGGAGGCCGTGTCAGGAAGGCACTGAGCTCTGCAGCTCTGAGTCCCCCAGCCGGCTGTCTGTGTGCCGCAGATCTATGCTCCACCCAGCCACTGCTTCCCTGTTCCAGCCACACCTTGCCCCAGCCCTTCCCAGGCGCTGACCCTCCACACCAGTCCATTGCTAGGAGTGACACCCCAGTGCCCAAGGAACCCTACAGTCCCCACCGAGCCTTGCCCAAATTCCTGACCTGCATGATTGCCCCAGCAAACGCTACTCAGGCCTTATCAGTAAGGAATTAAGGAACCTGATGGCAGTATTCTGCACGGTGCCTTCCCCACCCAGCCCAAAAGAGGCTTGTCTCCTCTTCGTCCTCGCTGCTCCAAAAGCCACAGCTGAGCTTTGCCTCTTCAGGGATGAAATCAGACCAGCGAGAGATGCCACTTGGCACTGTCCACGTTCCTGCCCATCACACTGACTTCATGGCTTTGTTTTCCACACCTAGAAAACATAATATACCCAAGAAAGAGGCTTAAAGAGTAATCAAAATAACACTTTCTGTTGTTCAACACAGTACATACAGGCACGTTACAATGATGTGCTTTGAAATAGTAATTAAAATGTGTAGCACAACGCTGGAAAGAGCCGAAGTTTCGTTTCTTATTCTGCACCATTATTTTCATTGTTACTGTCTTCTCCATTTCATAAAATGCAGAATCAAAGTTCAAACTCCTCAGGTGTGTTGAATTCCAGAGTCTCCTCCGTTCCTTTTGTTCTTTTTTTTTTTTTTTTTTTTTGCACTCGTAGGGCTAGAACCCAGGGTTTTCATCACTGATTTATGTCCCTGCCCTTTAAAAAGAAATTTATTAGTGCCTGCCAGGGGGCGCAGCTGGCCCTGCCTCCGGGGCATGCTGAGCAGGCAATTCAGACTGGGCATGGTGGCACGTGCCTGTAATCCCAGCTCTTGGGAGGCTATAAACAGGTGAATCACTGTAAATCCAATCTAGTAGTGAGACCCTGAACACCCTGTAGACATTTCCCCAAAATACAAAAAAAAAAGAGAGAAAAAAAGAAAGAAAGAAAAGAAAAAGAAAAAAACAAACAAATTTATTTTGACACAAGATCTCACTAAGTTGCTGAGTTGTCCAGGGTGGGCTGACACTTGAGTTCCTCCTGCCTTGACCTCCCCGAATGCTGGGGTTACCGCCTGCACCACACACCTGGCTTTCCAGGCATTGGTTCCTTCCCTTTCAATTCTGACAGTGAATGATATATTACACAGAGGTTTTAAAAAGTTTTCTGAAACTCGGGAGACCACAGTTTGAGTCATCTGTCATCCACCAGCTGTGTGACCTCCAACAGCATTTATCCCCAATTTTTCATATCTCTGCGCGTCCAATAATAGTTGTCCGTTTTGTCTATAAGGATTACATTGGGTAATATTGTGGAGTACGGCATAGAAATAATAAACTCCTACACTAGTATTAGTGGGTGTTCATAGAATCAGAATTCCCCAGCCACAATTTGTAGCAGAGCTGACTGGAGACTTGAAATCATTTTCCAAGTCTTCCCACCTCACCTTTGGTGAGCCAGCCGCTGGTAACTCATAACTCATGACAGAGATCAGCATTCCTTAAGCAACAAGACAAAGGTTTTCAACAACCTGAGGACTTATAAACAAAAATACAGCAGCACTGAGCTCTAACCATGCTGTTTGGAGCTGCTGTGTGGAGCTTGTAGGCAAGAGCTGTGCTTCGGGATAGGATGAGACCAGCCCACGGGGCTGGACACAGGGACCTACCCTGTGCCCTCAGGGTCTAGTTATTTCTCCTTTGTAGGACACTGTTTACTCACTAAGAAGAATTTAAATTAAATACAGAGCACCTAGCATCAAAAATATCGCCTCAAATTTAGCCTAATGCACTAGTCAAATTTGAGCTGAAGGACAGACCCTTGGGAAGAATTTGCTGCAGGTGAAGCACCAAGAACCTGAGATGCTTGCAAAATCTGAAACTGAGCTAAGCGTGGTGGTGCATGCCTGTAATCCTGGCATTCAGGGGGCTGTGGCAGGAGGATGGCTGCTGGTTCGAGACCAGCAGGTCAAGGCCAGCCTGAGCTGCATACTGAGACCCTATCTCAAATAAACTTAACAAGGACAAAAAAAAAATTTAACAATCTGAAACTTGTTGAGTGCTAATATAATAACCTAAGTTGAAAATTTCACATTGTTTAAGGTATTGGTGAAATTTCTTTTAAGCTCTATGCCTAAGATGTATATGAAATATAGGGAATTTGTGTTTAGACCCGAGTCCCACACCTGAGATACCACAGTCAGTATATTCAAATATTTAAAAATCCAAAGAAATTGGAAAGCTGAAACTAGGGGTCCCAAGCGTTTTGTTAAAGGCTGGTCGGCCTGTGTGTATTTTCTGCACTGTTCTGACTCCACGTCGTGTTAGAGGCTCCAGAGCTTGGATGTGTGATTCTTATTAGCTCTTTGCTCCTAATTCCAAGCAAATACCCAGTCCTCCATAATTTCCCTAGCTACTATACCAGGAAGAAATCAGGTGACATTTAGTAGTGCCCGTCCTGTGTCAACTCAATTAGATGCATGATTTCACTCAAATTTTT